TTTAATTATACTTTTATTTACTTATTTTTTAAAATTTTAATAAAGCATTGAATTTAATACATGAATCTTTTTTTTTTTGATGCGCTACATATCTGCTAAATTACTACTTTTTATAACGCATGTTTATCAAATATATGAACTTTACAACCTAGATATTACCTAAAACTATCATTAGTGATGTGATATTGTATCACAATGGTCTATCTATCTTAGTTAACAATCTTTCCTTTGCCAACCCATATTAGGAAATTATCTAACTTCTCTTTCGCACATTCAAAATTTCAACTTTATTAGGTAATTATATTCAAAGCCTACCGGGGGAGCGTGCTCGGCATAATATAATTGTATTTTTACAAACCCTATAATGTTTTGGTTATTATCCTTGTATAAATATAACCTTATCTTTGATCCGAAGCCCTGCCCTATATATATAATACTAAAATTTATAATCTTATCTCTGCTTCTAAGCCCTACTCTACATAAGTCGTGTTATAATCAAAGCCTATCGGTAATACGCGAATTCATAAATCAATCGTATTATTCTTATTACTTCATGACCTGATAATAATCACACGAACAAAACCTATTTAAACTAAGACTTTTGACTTTGCTTAAAATTTCAATATAAATTAACCGATAATTCATTTATCATTTAGTAATTATATGCGTTATCACATCAAATTTTCAAATTCCATTAGTGTATTAATTTGAATTTACCCTATTAAAACTTTCAATATCTCTGCCCATTCATGTGTAATCTTTCGTCTTTTAAATAATGGCAACACCTTCCGATAGCTCTGCATCATCAGAAGAACGTCAAAAGCAACTCAACTGTGACCGCCAGAAACGTTTTAAAAATAAGAATAAGGAAACTACCTCACACCTATCCATTAATGTTTCCAAAGACCTTCAACACTTACTTAACACCGAAGTCCCTACAGTTGTAGTCGAACCTCCTGCTATTAATACTGATACTGCTTCTGCACCATCAGAAGAACATCGAAAACAACTCAACCGTGAGCATCAGAAATGTTTTAGAGATAAGAATAAGGAAACTACCTCACACCTATACATTAATGTTTCTGAAGAACTTCGACACTTACTTAACACCGAAGTTCCTACGGTTGTAGTTGAACCTCCTGCTATTGATACAGATTCTGATTCTGACGACCTCTCACCTATACTTACCACCGAAGTCCTTACGGTTTTAATTGAACCTCCTATAATTGGTACTGATCTTGAGTTAACTAATACCCAAAGTAATCCGAAACCTCGCCGCGGTAAAACTGTACGTCATGATATGGGTAGAATGAACCAGACCTGTCGACATTGCAAAGCTAAGTTTTGAATGATAGAAAAAGATCAAAATAGTGGATATGCTGCACTGAGATTTCCCCTTTGCTGTGCCAACGGCAAAATACAATTACTACCTTTATTTGAACCCCCACCCTATCTACTGCATCTTTATACTTCAACTAATCCTAATGCAGTTGGCTTTCGTAAACAT